GCCGCAACGTAAACGTTTTTGTTTGTGTTAGTTATATTGTGAAACTTGCTAATATACTTTTTGTTCGGTTTCATATCCTTTCTTGATCACTGGTACCTGTCCGTCTAGCCAGACGATAGTTTTATATTGCTCTATGAGGAGGCATGAGACTCACAGCCCATGGCGATGGCGAGTATGACCAGCAAGACTCGCCCGTGTCAAGAAAAGTATTCCACAATGATAGCAAGGGATTTCATGACCATTGTTGTCAATATTTGTGTTTAATCCGTTTCGTTTCAGATGCTCAACTCTCATCCTTTCTGCAATAATTTCTTCCTTCACTCTCATTCCCTTCCTGGTATGCCCTTTCCACACAACACGGTCCATGGCATTTTGTTCCCATGCGTCCGCCTCAATACCTGTATCATTCATGTCCTGCTTGCACACATCTTTATATTGCATAAATAAATGCGAAAATAATTCCCTTCTCTCTCCCCCCCCCCCCCTTTTTTTTTTTTTTTTTTTTTGCATCCTCGTGATTGATGTTAAAGATTAAAATGCGACATTTTGTTCTGCCACTATCTTTCCCTTCATTCTAGCTGAAAACCCCGCAGCCAGATCTTTCATCCCGAGGAACAGAAGCATTGGTGTACACCAACTTCTTCCCTCCGCCTTGTCCCTACAGCCATCCGTCTGGTGGGCTCACACGCTAAGATTACAAAATCCTAAAGTAGATGGCTGACCACAAAGGCAAATCTGAAATACTCCGTTCAACCTCAAAAGTTGGGCACCAGTACATCCTGGTATAAAGGACAGTCCTTTATGGGGACTGATTTCCATTCTCTAAACTTGCTGTGGTTATATGAGCCACATTTCATATTCAGTCTCGAGTCAGTTATTTCTTCACAGCTTGTTTGAGTTACCCTGCCCTGACCGCATCCGTGTCTTGTACAAACTTGACCCCAGAATGTAGGTGAGAGAATTGTTGACTCCCTGTGCACACTTTTAGCGAGTGAATGAATGCACTTGTGGCATTCACATTTTTAGTGCAGACGTCAGGTACATTACCACGATAGTCTAGTAACACAGCGTGTCTCTGGGTCACCAGTTACTGGTGACTGTCTCATCAGTACTCTCCACCTCTGTAGATCAGATACAATGGATTCGATGATTGTGTGTTTGGAGCATCTCCATTGAGCGAAATTCTGTATGCAGGTCTTTCTTGGCCTGCTTCTTCTCATCCTTCCTTCTACCAAGTCCAGTCATAACGACATTGAGAGGCTAGTAGATCTTGTTGCATATGCGTAATACTGGATCATCGGAAGAATGGCGACGAAGGGCAAGGTGTCGGGTAAACTGGGCAGGGGTCGACTTGAATATTACTACCGCGGCTGCTACTTCCGTGTGTATGTTTGTGCGTGTATGTGTGTGCGTGTATGTGTGTGCGTATGTTTATGTATGTATTGGTGTGTGACACTGATCATGACAGTCACAACTAGCTTTTGTAAACAAGCGACTTTTGTTCTGGACACTTTCATTGCCTCAGCCTGCTAAAATCATATCCAATCTGGCACACACACACACGCGCGCGCACACGCATATACACACACACGCACACAAAACAAGTAAACAATTGGAAATGCAATAAACAAATAGGATATTTATTAACTGAAGGTAAATGAATTAACTTTAACACTGTGTGGCTTAGGAGCAGCAAACGCACTTCACAATTCCAAGGCACCCGGTTCGAAACCAGCTGGGTGCGGTTTGGCAGCAAAACGCCTTGATTTGATTTTGAAAGAAGTACTGATGGCAGACTGTTGAGAATCAATGACAAACTGGCATACACTGCCAGTGTTTGCCACGTCTGCGGCCTAGGCACGCAAAACATATCTCGAGGGGGGGGGGGGTGTTGAGCCTGAGGAACGTCCTTATATTGTGTCGCCACGTACTGTGCAGATCAAAGTCTTGTTTTTTTTTTCAAATTCCAAACGTTACTGTAGATTCGAACTTGGGTCTTCCGCTTGAGAGGCCAGTCTTTTCTAAACTTCCTCATCAAACTAAATAAAGTAAAATTTGCCCAGTACAATCAAAACAGCCAGCACATGCTGGGGTCAACTCTGCAACGTCCTGTACAATATATGCAACTAATTGGGTGTTTTTTCCTTTGCTTAGGACAGACAGACAGCAACTTTAGGCTGTGACCAGACAGACAGCAACTTAGAGCTGTGACCAGACAGACAACAATTTAGAGCTGTGACCAGACAGCAACTTAGAGCTGTTACCAGACAGACAGCAATTTAGAGCTGTGACCAGACAGACAGCAACTTAGAGCTGTGACCAGACAGACAGCAACTTAGAGCTGGGACCAGACAGACAGCAACTTAGAGCTGTGACCAGACAGACAGCAATTTAGAGCTAGGACCAGACAGACAGCAACTAGAGCTGTGACCAGACAGACAGCAACTTAGAGCTGTGACTAGACAGACAGCAATTTAGAGCTGTGACCAGACAGACAGCAACTCAGAACTGGTACCAGACAGACAGCAACTAGAGCTGTGACCAAACAGACAGCAACTCAGAGCTGTGACCAGACAGACAGCACTTGGAGCTGTGACCAGACAGACAGCAATTTAGAGTTGTGACCAGACAGACAGCAAATCAGAACTGTTACCAGACAGACAGCAACTCAGAGCTGTGACCAGACAGACAGCAACTCAGAGCTGTGACCAGACAGACAGCAACTCAGAGCTGTGACCAGACAGACAGCATCTCAGAGCTGTGACCAGACAGCAACTTAGAGCTGTGACCAGACAGACAACAACTCAGAGCTGTGACCAGACAGACAGCATCTCAGAGCTGTGACCAGACAGACAGCAACTTAGAGCTGTGCCCAGACAGACAGCAACTCAGAGCTGTGACCAGACAGATAGCAACTCAGAGCTGTGACCAGACAGACAGCAACTCAGAGCTGTGACCAAACAGACATCAACTCAGAGCTGTGACCAGACAGACAACAACTCAGAGCTGTGACCAGACAGACAGCAACTTAGAGCTGTGACCAGACAGACAATAACTCAGAGCTGTGACCAGACAGACAGCAACTCAGAGCTTTGACCAAACAGACAACAACTCAGAGCTGTGACCAGACAGACAACAACTCAGAGCTGTGACCAAACAGACAACAACTCAGAGCTGTGACCAGACAGACAGCATCTCAGAGCTGTGGCCAGACAGACAGCAACTTAGAGCTGTGACCAGACAGACAGCAACTCAGAGCTGTGACCAGACAGATAGCAACTCAGAGCTGTGACCAGACAGACAGCAACTCAGAGCTGTGACCAAACAGACAACAACTCAGAGCTGTGACCAGACAGACAACAACTCAGAGCTGTGACCAGACAGACAGCAACTTAGAACTGTGACCAGACAGACAATAACTCAGAGCTGTGACCAGACAGACAGCAACTTAGAGCTGTGACCAGACAGACAGCAACTCAGAGCTGTGACCAGACAGATAGCAACTCAGAGCTGTGACCAGACAGACAGCAACTCAGAGCTGTGACCAAAGAGACAACAACTCAGAGCTGTGACCAGACAGACAACAACTCATAGCTGTGACCAGACAGACAGCAACTCAGAGCTTTGACCAAACAGACAACAACTCAGAGCTGTGACCAGACAGACAACAACTCAGAGCTGTGACTAAACAGACAACAACTCAGAGCTGTGACCAGACAGACAGCAACTCAGAGCTGTGACCAAACAGACAACAACTCAGAGCTGTGACCAGACAGATAGCAACTCAGAGCTGTGACCAGACAGACAGCAACTTAGAGCTTTGACCAGACAGACAACAACTCAGAGCTGTGACCAGACAGACAGCATCTCAGAGCTGTGACCAAACAGACAGCAACTTAGAGCTGTGACCAGACAGACAGCAACTCAGAGCTGTGACTAGACAGACAACAACTCAGAGCTGTGACCACACAGACAACAACTCAGAGCTGTGACCACACAGACAACAACTTAGAGCTGTGACCACACAGACAACAACTTAGAGCTGTGACCAGACAGACAACAACTTAGAGCTGTGACCACACAGACAACAACTCAGAGCTGTGACCACACAGACAACAACTTAGAGCTGTGACCAGACAGACAGCTGCTTAGACCATTTCTAAGTCATGTTCTCATTTAGAATTATAGTAGAAACTGCAGTCGGTGAGGTCCTCGTATGCGACGTCCTGCTTGTGATATGGACAGGGCTGAATGTTTAACATCATGGCTGTTGTCAAATGCAGATGACGATGATAATGATGATAATAAACAAGAAATATAAATCTCTCTCTCTCTCTCTCTCTCTCTCTCTCTCTCTCTCTCTCTCTCTCTCTCTCTCTCTCTCTCTCTCTCTCTCTCTCTCTCTCTCTCATACACACACTCAAACACACACTCAAACACACAAATACACACGAACGCACACATACACTCTAGCCCGAAGACACACATGCATAGTGACACTCACACACACGTACACGCACATACACTCTCTATCTCTCTCTCTCTCACACACACACACAAATACACATGCACGCACACACACACACACACACACATAGTCACGCCTGAAAACATACATGCACACACACACTCAAGCCCGAAAACTCTCATGCTCATCGACACTCACATACACGCACTCTCTCTCTCTCTCTCTCTCTCTCTCTCTCTCTCTCTCTCTCTCTCTCTCTCTTTCTTTCTCTTTTTCTATCTCACACACACACATACAAACACACAAATACACGTGCACGCACACACACACAAGTCACGCCCGAAAATATACATGCACACACACACATACACTTAAGCACGAAAACACACATGCATAGTAACACTCACACACACACACACACACACACACACACACACACACACACACACACACACACTCTCTCTCTCTCTCTCTCTCTCTCTCTCTCTCTCTCTCTCTCTCTCTCTCTCTCTAACACATATGAAATGCATTCTTAAATAAAAATGAATATATCTTTGTCTGTGAAATGATCACTGCAGACGTCCGGCGAGTGACCTCGGGTCAGCTGCCAAGTTCCGTGGCAGTGCTGGACATCCATAGCCTTCCAGACTGTAGCCGTTTTGTAGACCCCGTGTCCCAGACACCGCATGCCGACGTCCCTGGTCATGGCCACTGGCTGGCATTCCACACAGACTGACGTGTTGACCGCTAGCAGGCTGCCCCAACTGGACTTCTCACAGCCGGGGTGGGTGGAGAGGATGGTAAACTGACCACTGTAGCTGTAGGGAGGGAGAGCAATGTTTGGTTGTTGGTTTTCTAGTCGGGAAAAAAAAACAAAAGTGCTATACAATCAGTAACAACAGTGTCAGTGGCATCCATTCATAACAGTACCAAGATTCCAGGGACAGCACTCTTCATAATTTCAACCTCTGTTATTTGAATGCCGCCAACATCATCATCTCCCTTCATTTTTGTATTATCGCTGCTACTACTACTGATGATGATAATGATGATATTGCAACTATTGTAATTACTTTTTAGTCATAATTATAATTCTTGTTTACATTATGCAGTGAAAGGAATATTGTTACACTGCACAAGAAGCATCTACAAAGAAATCAAAAGTGCCGTCAGAACAAAAGTTGGCCTTACAATGATGTTGTGTTGTACCACCTTTGGATTTTTTTTTTTTTTTTTTGGGATCAACTGACCCCACTTATGAAACACCCGGCAATCACAGGAGAGACAACAAGATAAATTACAAACGCAATCTTCATACCAACCTTGTCCTATCAGTGTCGGACATGGACATTGACAAACGAACACGAAAGAAAACTGAGCACCTGCGACATGAATGTTTGAGCAAGGCCGTGAACAGTACTAGAAGTTTCCCGTGTGGGTTATAGGGCCCCACTGAGGGAAAAACGTGAAAAGACCAAATGCAAAGAAAAGACCCAAAAAGCATGTCATAAGAGTCGACTAATGGGGAGCTTCCTTCGAAGTCGGAGTACATCGGCCTGAGAGGCAAGGAACCAACAGTCTGCATGCAGATGAGTCAAACATGTTAAACGGATGTGCATACAACACTCAGTTTCTGCAACAGAACTAGAGTCTAGAAATTTCCGCAGGAGTTTACAGCCGGTAAAAAAAAAAGAAGAAGAAGAAGAAAAAGAAGAAGAATACTAGAAGAGATCATGTGATAAACGAAAAAATTATAAAAATTGTTGGAACATCGCCTATAATTAAATTCATTGAGAAACAAAGACTGAAATGGTTTGGTCATTTATAGAGAATGAATCGAACGATGCGAGAATCAAGAGCGGACAACATGAAAGTAGAAATACCAAGAGGCAGGGGACTACCACAGAAGAAGATGGATTAGCGGAGTCACTGATACCTTGAGGCACCTCAATATCACAACCTACTGGCGAACCGAGCGTGCCCTAGCTCGGATACGGAGCATCTATTAACTTGCGACGGCTAGCGGCACAAAGCAGAATATGGACAAAAGAAGAAAGATCGACATCTGTTCATGACGTGAGTGTTTTGCGGGGACTAACCTGGGTCTGCTGAAGATCTCATTAAAGTATTTGTCGTAGAGATTTTTTAACAGTCCCTTCCAAGGATCGTACTTTTTCATCGTCCGGTAGCGCCCAAACTCAATAGGCAGCAGACGGGCTGTTTCTGCAACAAGATACACGAAACTATGTGTTTAAACATATTCCTACAAATGCTGAACTTAGTCAGTTTACAACCCACAAGTAACTAGAACAAAACAAACAACAACAAAACAGTAAAGTAAAGGAATTTTTTTTAAGCTGATGCTGATTGATGTATCAAATGTTAGACGCATAGTTTTATAGACCAATCGGTACTCGGTTGGTGATCAACAAAATGCCGGCCGCCTTCACCTCCCAACACATACCTGGCGCCCTTTTTAGAGTGGGCGGTTCTAAAAAAATCAGTCTCGATGTGGACTCGAGACCATGACTTTTTGTCCGACAGTCGAGCATCTGAATGTCCTTGAACCCAGGGAAGAAATTCCCTAGTGAGTTAGTGGCGTTGAACCATACCAGGACCGCACAACTAAAGATAAACACCCGATGACACAAAGTGCCACTATTCCGATGAGAACATCCATGCAAAGTCCCAGAAACCCTGTTCAACCGTGGGGCTTTAAGAAAATGGCGACCCCTATTTGGGCGGAATAATAGAGAAAATATTCCGTAGAGAAACCTGCATTTCAAGGTGCTGAGAAGGGACACGTTTAGGTAGCAATGTAAATTAACACTGAGGAAAAGGTACACATATAAAATAGCGAATACAAAAGGCAGAGGAAGCTTTCATGGTGCTAGAAAATTACCCGAAATCAAATGAAATGAGTACTAATACAAAACGTAATGAAATAGGTCTGGATGAAATCAGAAGCGCTGAAAACAATTAAAACAAACAAACCAATAAAAACAGATACTACATCGTCACACAACTAACCCACACTGGAAAAAAGGGGGGGGGGGGCGAGAAGGGTTCAAAGGAGAAGGGTGAGGGCCTCAGGAAATTTTAACACTGAGTGCATTTGACCTTGTAATAATCCGTTATGTGTATATATATATATTTACTTAAATAATAAATACAGTAGTTTAACAAAATTTATGATTTCAAAATATTTTTTTTAAACAACAAAAGTCATTTCTTGTTTTCATGTGCACTTAAAAATCTAATTAATTTGAAAACATTCTAACCAAAACATACCTCCATACTTTCTGTTTCGCTTGTTGCGGAATCTCATCATCATCAAGTGCCTTGCCAGCTGGCGTGGGCGTTCATGCGTCGCCGCAGATATCGGTCTTTGGTGTTGTGGATTGATTTTACCGATGATATTCCTCCATGCCAATGTCTAAAGCCATCCACCATCATTTCTTTTCATCTGCTTCTGCCTCATTCTACCAGTGATAACATTTTGCTATGTTGGAGGAGGGGGGGGGGGGTTGGCGTAGGGATCTTGCAATATACTCACAGGCACGCGACCTGAAAAAGGTTGGAGACCTCTAGTCTAGTCCATGCCCAATATGCCTGAAGGCGGGGAGTATGGTCCTTAACTGGAGCTGTATGACTATAGGACTGAACTGACTGTTCAGGACTTGTAGCTGTTAATTCTCATCCAAACGTTGAATGTTGAATTAAAAATCGACTCGGGATATTTCCATGAGCGCTCAGTCTCCATCTTGAGCAGCAAGCGCAGAGTTCCAATTCTGATGGCGCCAGTGAATGTATATCCGTCTCGCCTTTCCCTTGAGTGTTGAACGTTGGTCAGATCCCCTGGGTACCCCTCGTAGTACGATTCTCCCCAGACTGTGATGAACTATTTGGGCCTTCGCAATGTTCACCCGCTCCCAAATGACCATTATAACATTAGCTTGCCCTGCATCAGTTCACCACTAAGAAGTGCAGAACCAGTTTGTCTGACTGTTCTTTTACCAACTCACCGGCATTGCCTGGAGAAACTATCCAAACGGCTAACTACCCGGAACCTGTAAAGGGATGCTTTCCACTCTGCACGGAGCATACCTGTCTCAACATGCTCTTTGAGTCAGTTACAATAGCAACATGTGTGTAAAGGCGTTGTCAAGATGCGGGAAGCTGATGGTTCTCACCCTTAACATGTTAATTCTATAGGATGCACATTTGTAGTGGAAAATAAAAAGACACTAATACTACCACTCCTAGGGTTACCACCTCCTCTCTCTCTCCCTCTCTCTCTCACACACACACACACACACACACACACACACACACACACACACACACAGACTAACCCCGGGTTTCCTGCAGTCGCTCGTCGATGAGGTTCTTCCTGCAGATCTCGGCCTGGTAGCCCACACAGGCCCGCCTCTGCTTCAGCTCCGGGCAGTGATTGCCTCCGTTGTCCGGGTACTGGGTGACGTCACGCTGTCGCTTGCGGGTCCCATAGCCGCACAAGTTGTCGCATGGGGTCCACTCTTCCCACTCTCCCACCTGGCAGTCTGTACCTGGGTCAGGACAGGAGAAAGTGTACACATTTGCGTGTGCGTGCGAGAGAGAGCGAGAGCGCGAGCGAGAAAGAAAAAGAGAGAGAAGTCGAGAGACAGTGAAAAAGAGAGGGAAGGAGAAAAGAAAGAGTAAGAGAGGAGCGATGTGAGAGAGAGAAAGAGAAGAAAGAGGGGAGAGAGAAAGAGAGAGTAACAGAGGGGGAGATGACAAAGAGGTACAATGTGAGATATAGAGGAGAAAGCGAATGAAAGAAGAAGACAGACAGGATAGAGAAGATGGAGAATGAGTTAAAAGAGTGAGAGAGTGAGAGGAGCGATGCAAAAGAGAAAGAGGAGTGAGAGAGATAGTCAGAAATGAGTGAGTGTGTGAGTCAGTCAATCAGTCACTATGTGCGTGAGTGAGAATATAAGTGAGGTAGTGAGTTTGTGAGTCTGTGAATAAGTGAGTCCAGGTGAGGATTGAGGATGGACATCCTCTATGGTGAATTATAGACGGGCAGAAGATGTCGAGGCCAAACTCCACTACGATATAAAAATATGTACAAGCGGGACACGAATGATACAGTTTTGAGGTGAACACATGGAAATAAAATGCCATGGACCGTGTTGTGTGGAGGGGGAACATCAGGAAATGAATAAGAATGAAGGCAGAAATGACTGCAAAAAGGATAAGAGCTGAGCGTCTGAGAAGAAACAAACACAAATGTTGACAACAACGGTTCTGAAATCCGTGCTTAAACTGTGGAAGACTTTTTTTTTAACGTGGGCGGTCTTGCTAGTCACACTCGCCATCGCCATGGCCTGTGAGTCCCATGCCTCCTAGCGCAATATGACACTATCGTCTTTAAAGACTGAAGAGTGCCAATTAAATCACCCGCGCGAGTGAATCAATATATTAGTGAGTGAGTAAGTTAATGAGTGAGTCAGTGAGTCAGTTAGTGAGTGAGTATGCGAGAGAGGGAGTGAGTGGGTTTATTTATAAAAAACAGCTATATAAAGCAGACATTCATGCGAACATGGGGATAAAAAAAAAGGCAAACCAGTAACGACACGAAAACTCTCTTAAAGTGTTGATGCTAACTGTTCCAGTAACACAATGCTGATACACACGTCGTTCTCTTCCTCTCATACGCCCCTCCATGTCGGATCCACTCCTTATTCTTCTTTCACACATTTGAACACATCTTATTTCATCTGATCTCGTATCTTCTATCAACATTCGTTCATATACAGTCTTCACAATATCACCCTAGTCCAGGACGAGTGTTCCTGTAGCTACCGCTTTTGTTGCCAGAAAAACCGCTTTTTAATTTCCTCGCGCTCCTGCATATACCGGACAATGTATCCACGCGACTCCCTGGAATTTTGACGTACTGATGCTTTGTATCAGTCTTCATAACCATCAAACACAAAACTTACTCTTGCAGGTGTGGTGGTAATCCAT